CTGATTGCCTTTCAAGAATACCACAAGAATGTCGTGATGAAACTATTGAAGATGTAACCATAATAAATGAATATGAGGATTTACCTATTAACTTTGATCAAATTCGTGATGAAACTTTGAAAGATACGGAATTAAAACAAGTCATAAATGATATTAATAACAACAGACCTATAATGAATAATATTTATAAAAACATTGAATTGGAATTAAGTATAATTAAGGATTGTCTTTACAAAAGCAATAAAATCATAATTCCGTCTTCTATGAGAAAAACAATACTACAGTCATTACATGAAGGTCACTTGGGAGCAGGAAAAATCAAATCCTTAGCCAAAGAATACATGTGGTGGCCTGGTATAAATAATGATATCGTTATGGAAGTGAAAAGTTGTGACGATTGTAATATATATCATGATAATCCTATAAAGATACAAAAACCATGGGTTTCGGCAACCAAACCGTTTGAAAGGATACATATAGATTATGCGGGTCCGTTTTTCACAAAAAATTGGTTGATAATAGTCGATGCCTACAGCAAATTTCCAATTATTATTCCTGTTAAAAATATTACGACTGATGTTACTTTATAAGAAATCGGAATACCTGAAACTATAGTGACTGATAACGGCACTAACTTTACGAGTAACGATTTTGAAAAATTTTGCAACAATTTTGGTATTAAACATGTGCTTACATCTGCTTATCACCAGCAATCCAATGGCCAGGTTGAACGCATGGTTAGAACGTTCAAAACACATATGAAAAGGAATATTAAAATAGACCCAGATATCGCACTTAGCAAATTTTTACTTAATTACAGAAATACGCGTAATGATACTACAGGAGTTACACCCTCACAGAGAATGTTTAATCGAGATATTAGAATTAAATGGGACTTATTAAAACCGATGGAGGAGAAGGAGAATAAAATAAACGTTACTTTACCACGAAATAGAACTTTTAATGTAGGAGATTTTGTTTGGTATAAAATACAAGGTGATGATAAATGGTGCAAAGGTATGATCACACATAAAGAAAGTGATATGATGTTCCAAATTAAGACTGAGAAAGGTATTTTGAGGAGACATTTAAAACAAATAAGAATTAGAAACTGTTTTAACACAATTATTACCTATGACTCTAAGGATTCTTTTAAGGAGGGAAGTATGGACAAAAATATAAAAATTACTGATAATAACGATATAACACCTATCTCTAGACCTGTGCGAATAAAAAAAAACCTGCTTATTTAAAAGACTATGTAACTTAAAATATAAAATAAATGTTAAATTGCATAAACTAAATTAAATATTAAAACGCTTATATTAAAACGCAAAAAATTAAAACGCTAAAAATATAACAATCTTATTGATTTATCATTCTTCATTTATTCTTATGATGAACTATTATTTCTTATTCGCAATTTATTTATGATAATAACAATTTCGGAAAAATGATAATAACAATTGAGTACTATCAAACAAGCTATGATTAATGGAAACAATTTACGATATGGATATCAAGCTTGTGATCAAACAAACCAACGTGCAAAATCGAATTGATCAAACCAACGATTGGGACAAGCCAACGTTATGATGATTTGTGATACAACTTGATTACAAAAATGATAAACCACTTGGACAACAAACTCTCTATGACTTCTCCGATGAAATTATCAGAAGAGGGAGAATGTTGCGTTATATACTTTTTGTTTTTGAATTCTTTCTGTTTTTGAATTTTTTATAATCTAATTTTTATTATTTATATAATCTAATTTTTGTTATTTGTTATAATCTAATTTTATTTTATAAACGGCGTAACCTTACTTTTTTAATATTATTTTACTTTTTTGTATTTCGTTTATATTCTAATTTGGACTTATAAAAAATGTATATAATAGAAGTGTGAAATGGAAAAAATAGTTTTAATAGTATTAATAAAGTTAAATATAAAAAAACACCTTTTTACCTTTGTGCACATATTCATGTTACTCTACATAAATTATATTAATATGTATGTAAATATTTTTATTTAAATAAATCCTTATCTACCAGAATTCGACATCTCAGGTCACGTGCAACACTTACACCCCCCCCCCCCCCTAAAAAAACACAACTAACCTTTCAAACATAAAATCTTCTTCCAGATAATATTTTTATTTTTCAATTCAAATCTAAGAATAATATAATAATTAATTTCACCTAAATAAAAATTAAAAACAAAATATATACTGATTGGTTCATTAAAAAAATTATTCTTCGCAGTATTTTATTGAACAACTGCTAACAAATATCCTTTTTTTAAAATCTTTTGCTTATATTTTCTCATTTATATTTAAAAAACCTGGTAACTGGGGTATGTGTGGATGAGGATAAATTAATTATATTAATTATAAAAGTCCAATGGGTTAAAATATAAGCATATTTGAACTTGGTGATTGTTTTATGGCTATTTGCGGTGTATTTCGATAATTAAACAAAATATCTTGAATTTTATTAGAATCATGTTTTTTAAAATTTTAAAAGTTTATACTAACCACTCCGCTTCTCCGTTGGTTCTAAGGTGGTACGGAGCACTATATATATTTTTAATTGATAATTTTTTGCAAATTAAACTGAATTATCTATTTTGAAATAGGGGCCCATTATCCGTAACAATCGTATTGGGGTAACCGAAAATAGCAAAAAGTCTTAACAATATTTTTCTTACTTCAGTAATATTATTTGTCGACAGTTTTTGTATTTCAGGCCATTTACTAAAACTATCTATTATTACTAGATATATATCTCCATTGATTTGTCCGGAAAAATCTAAATGAATTCTTCTCCATGACTTATATGCGGAGGGCCATTTCCTATGATCGTTTTACCGCCAAGATTATTTGTTTGACATAATCACAATTACCATGTACTTCGATGTCTTCGTTAAAATTCGGCCACCAAACATTCTCTTGGCCCAATAATTCTATTTTAGTAATAACACTGTTGCCCCATATGTAAAAAAGACAAAATATTTACTTGTAATTTTTTTAAAATTATGGTTCTTAATCCCCATAATATACACCCTGCCTCCATCGTGAGTTCATTTCGGCGCTGGAAAAATGGTTTTAGATTTTCTTCTAATATCTTCGGCCACCCAGCTGCAATTTACCGTGAAACGTTTGATAATACCGGTTCATTTCTCGTGTGATTTTATATCTAACGCTGAAATAAATTTTGGAGCATCCGATACTATTAAATCAATGTCTAACTCTTCCCAAATAGATGGTTTACCCTCAATTGGGAAACAGGAAAGCATATCTGCATTATTATTTTTTTTGTACCTCGAAGTTGCAATTCATAATCATTATTTGCTAGTAGTAATGACCATCTTATTAATCTTGATGACATATCTATTATTCTTTTATCTGGTATAAGTAACGATAAGTGGTTTATAATCAGTGATTATAATAAAATGTTTACCAATTAAGTATTGTTTAAATTTAATAAAACCAAATATACTTGCTAAAGCCTCATGCTCTATATGACTGTAATTTCGTTCGGAGGCATTTAATGTTCGAGAAGCGAATCCAATCGGCTTTCCCTCGTTGTTAATGATATGAGATAGAACTGATCCTATTTCATTTTGAGACGCGTCTGCAGCTAGAATTATCAGTTTTTTCGGATTATAATGTGTTAAAATTAGTGCTTCTTATATTAATTTTTTAAATTTATTAATTACTTTTGTTTCATTATCTGTCAATTTCCATGGCATATTTTTCTTTAAAAGCCTAGTCGAAAAATTGTTTACAAATTTTTGATAATAATTAATTATACAGATAAAAGCTTGTAATTCTTTAACGTTTTTAGGTAACATCACTCAAAAAATATTTAAAACGAGAAAATAATTTTTTCTTAGTATTCTATTTTAAGAAAATAGTCACTATTAGCAATTATCACGGTATTGCTTTCTTGCTTTTTTATGATATTGACTTTGTGTTAATAAATTCGTAATATATAATTCTCAAAATAGTTTTCACTATATTGTCTTAGCTATTTGGATTTAGCCTTCGCTATAAAATCTTTGTTATTATGCATTACGATAAAACTTTCGTTGTTATGTATTCGCTCTAAGAGATCTAGGTAGGTTTTGCTATAAAAAAGTCTCATTATGGCTTTCTCTGATTTTTGTTAAATTTAAAACTATGTTAAGTTTTTTTTTATTCTGATTCCTTTTTCTTAAATGGTGTATATTGTTTGTAATCATTCAAATTGATAACGAAAAAAACTATGATTAATGATTCATCCAGTCAGTGTTTGTTTTTAGGTGTTTTTTGTAAAATATATAATCCGTCTTTTATTTATCATTATATAATAAAAAAAATTGTTTTGTCTCTGGCCTAGTCGATGATTACATATATCACCATAATCTTGGTTCAAAATTTTAAAAATAGGTATTTATTACATTTTAATAAAATTTGGTTGTTGTTTAGCAAACATTTGGCCGTTGTTTAGCAAATAGTATGACGGGATTTATCACTAACAAAAAATTAATACTCTTTCGATCAATCAAAATATCTAGATAATTAAATGATTTCTTTAAAACTTTAAAAAAATTCTGTTCACTCCCCAAAAATATTTTTTAAATTAATATTCTATTTTTAGTAAATAGGGGACGACGTATATTTTTATTAACTCAAAATGTTATTTCCAAAAACTCATAAATTTAATGCATTTTTTATCGTTATTTATGATTGTTTTATTGTGGAAGCTGTAAATATTTCCTTTCTATTCAATTGATAAATTTTTAAATGTATGTATATAATAAATGAGCAAGGCTGTTGGAAATATACGAAGGAAAAATTTCAGGAGTGAGAATGGAACCATTTTTTTCTACTTAATTTGTTGTCAAAAAATAGTAAATTGATTAAATTTCTTACACATAAAAATATTAATGATCTTTAATCTAGAAGTATATATTTCACATTTTATATCTAAAAATCTATATAAGTATTATGAATGAATTAATACATTTTCTTGTTTTTAATTAAACAGCGCAAATAATATATAAAATATCATTAGATTAATATTTGAAATATTGAAAAATGCAAAAACTATAAAAGATAAATGTCAGAATTTACAATCCGGCTTTTTTCATTTTATCACCAAGCGATTCTAAATCTTTCGTGCAATTGCCAGCCCCAATTTTTTCGTCATACAGCCCAATGATTATGCATTTTCCGGTTCTTACAATCATAGCCCCTCCTTTATCTAATTTGGTCCTAATGCCATTTCCGTCAGGATTTTTCCCCAAAAACATGTATTTCTTTCCCTGGATCATTACTCCTTTCGAAGTTAATACGTCTGTTTTATCAAAACCTTTTAAATTTACCATAAATTAGACATTAATTTTAAAAAATAGTTTTTACCAGTTCTTCTAGACTTTTGTTAAAATTATAAACATCCAAAACTAACCACCTCTAAATAATTAAAAGCTAAGTAAATTAATTTTTTATTTGAAATTTCACCAAATTCTTGATTTGGCCCAATAGTCACCTTATTTCACATTTGTTACTTAACTACATTTATTTTGGGCATTTGTCGTAGTGTCTTAAAATTTATGATTAAAAATTTAATAATAGCAGAAAGCGTGTAAAGTTCATACAACCCGATAGAATTAATTCGCACCATTTTAGATTTTATGTCCATCTTAGATTAATAAAATGAGTGTTCTATCTATAGATTTTAATTTTGAGATATTTTCAGATTCAGGTTCAAAATATTTAGCGAAAATTATTACCTACACACTACTTTATTTATACCATTTAAGGTACAAAAATTACAATAATCTAACTATAATACATAAATATGATAATAAATTCTAACCCTCATTCATATGTTTGACTTCATCCGCAGTGACCGCAAATCCAGTTGTAGCTGCATGTGTTGCTCCAGTCTTACAAACGATAGCCCCGCCAGTGATGTGCTTAGTTGCAACCAAGTCATCTAAATATTTTTTATAATCACCCATTTCTTATTCAAAGAAGATTTTTTTTAAGGAAAGTGTAGTTTATGATTTAAAGCCGAACAAAATTTATTATTTTAATATAATAACAAAAATCTTTATTTAGAAAAATTAGAAAATTCTAATATAATTTTGTATCTAGAACCAAGTTATAAGTAAATATCACATTAATTGTTACGTCTTTAAGATGATATGAAATACGCATATATTTTTGATATGATGACATATTTGATATTTTCTTATGCACGAAAATGGGATATACCATTAGCTAGAACGAGTGGTATGTCTGCATAGGGGCAAAGACATCTTCAGTCTGACTGAATTTTTAAAATAAGGGAAGCTAAACCTCTCAAATGATATTCATTTATATATGATCCAAAATTTAATGTCACAAAAAAATTATAGTGGAAAAGTTATTTAGAACAAATTATAACCTTTTTTAAATGTCGCGATATAATTAAAATATTTAAAAGATATAGCGAATGTTATGTAAATAAAATTAAATATTCCACCTATTCAATATATTATGTTGGATTTATAACTTCGCACTCATATTTTTGAAAGTCTTCATAATCCTACAATATTTTTTTATTATATGATAAACATAGACTAGCTTGAGTTAAACCAATATGAAATAATGTTTATATATATCTTCCATAAAATTTTTCTAAATCGGTTAATTAAGTTACCATTTATTTTGCAGCTGGGGGATAAGCTATTTTCAATTCGGAGCCAGTAATAATTTGTTTTGAATGCAGAGTGAAGTAGACTGAAAACATTTTTAATTAAAGGAGACTAGACTAAATATTTTGCACGCAATGCAAAATCACATGTCGGCACCTTCCTGATCTTCAAAAAATCATAATATTATTAATGGGCCTTGGAAATAAATATCGCATACCCCCTAACTTTATGTACACATATTCATCTTATACTAATATGGGAATTATTTTTTTGGGACAAGAGGACTTTTCTCTCTAATTTGAAAACAGAATCAGCAATATCCTATTACTCAAAATCGGAGGTGACCAGTTACCTTCTCTCGAATAGTTTTCTCTCAGTTCATACCTTGAATACACTTCACAAAGATTTTCCAAAATTTACAGAATGCTAAAGAAGATAATGGGGAAAGATGTGTCCAGAAATTTTCAGGCTAAGATTCTAGGATATGAATCACGATTTTTAGACACAACAATATTACCCTAGGTAATCTTAAGAGAGTCCTCCCAGGAGTATTAATTATCCTTATTATACAATATGCAAAGTTACAAGTAAATAAGTTGGTATTAAAATAAATTTAAAAAATTAGCAGGTCAGGGAAATTTTTTAAAAGGACGTCCCTCTCCTCATATATAAGTACACGTATTAACGATTGTTATATAAAAGATTTAGAATGCTATTTGAACATAAAAACTTAGCAGAGTTAGAAAAGATATTTAATTTTAATTTTATTTTAAGGTATATATATTTTTATATTTGTAAATGGCATCTTTTAATGACTCTAAATTAAAAATTTGTGTCTAGAGTTCGATTTTAAAAAAATATTAAAAATCTTTATTTAAATTGGGTTTTTCTAATAATATGGTCAATATGATAGCAAAAAAAATATTAATTTTTTTTTTGAAATATTATAAAATTCATTATAAAAATTTACCAATTTGACCAATACCTTTTAAAATGCGTTACTTGAAAGCGAATGCAAAATATACACCGTCCCTCAGTTTGATAGAACTACACATTCATATTTTGACTTGAAAATATTATAGTAAACAATATGTTATCTTATAAGACCAGTGGTATATCAAGGATTTAATTTTGGAACTCCATCAAAAACAGCTGGAATCTCCGTCCCCACCCCAGCGTGGCACCGCATTTGGCTAATAAAAGTCGTTATGAAGATTGATCACGCTCTTTTTTGCGCTTGCACTATATTAAGTCTTTTCTTCAAACAAATAAGACTAAATAATTTTAATAGTTAATAAATTCAATATCACACATATATTTGGATTTGGATAAAGTTTGATTTAGCTTATCCAGCTATGATGATTGTTAAATCTAATCAACGAAACTGCATACTTTATTTATAGTACTCGACATTATACTAACACATAGCTCTGTTCAAATCGGGCGAAATTGTTATTGGAACGATTAATTTATTAAGAGCCAAAAAATTGGAGTTTTAAGAGGGGGTTCAAAAAATATGAGGAGGGCACTGTATACTTTTAAAAATTAATACTTTATATTAGCATAATTTATTATGAAATACATTTTATTTTACACTGTATCATTTTTAGTAAAAAAATTAACTATATCATCATCGCGTATTTTATTTACAATATTCCTCAATACTAATCTAAGACTAGGAATTTAAGTCTTCCTTGACTTATTCCTTGGTATTTTTTATATCATTTTACCTGCCGTTTTTGTGGATGATATAAGATCCGATAAGGGAAGTGGTTCAGTGCGGAAATAAAGTAAATTAACTTTATATAACAGAGGAAATCATGTAGTTTTACATGTTAGTGAGTTTTCAAAATTGTGGTTTAAGAGACTGAGTAATCAATATAATTTACTTTACTATTAAATAAAATTAATATAAAATTTTAAAACAAAAAAAAACAATAATTATAAAAAAATTTGTTTCTTTATAAACACTTTTCATGAACCTTAAATAATTATTCAAATTTACAAAAATTCTTTTTTAAAATCAATAAATCGTCTAGATATATAAAACAATACAATCTCATTTGATTATAATATATTAAAAATATTTCATCTGAATAACTTTACAAAAATATGAATATAAAAAATAATTTATAGTCTGATAAACTTCCAAAACAATTTGAATATACAACAGTGAGAATTAAAAAGAGTTAGGTGGGATAATGTTTACCGACCACTGCATGAGATCTAAAAAAATCTATATCTAAGAGGTTTTAAGGATTTTTTATAGTATATTATATTTAGAAGATATGGGTATATATATATGAAATTTAAAATGTGTTTTTGATTATGACGATACGATATCAATATAGGTCGAACCGAGCTATGATGATCCGAATTGATTAATTTCAAAAGTTTAAGTTTGATGGAACTTAACAAATTGTTTAAAAAAGCTTTAGGAATATATTCAGAACGAACAAAGGAAATTAAAAAAGAATACAGATATATTATCCTTTAAAACAGGTGAATGATAAAATTTGCTATGTTTTTAAATTTCAAGCTAAAATTTGGATTTGATTAATACTATTTGCAAATAAATTGCAAAATATTTGCTTCTTTGTATTTTACGAGCTGTCTAATAAAATACTAAAACTATAAATGTAAAAAATTATGATTTGATTTAATTACAAATAAAAAATGCAGTCAAACACAATTTTTTATAAAAAAGTAGATAGCCAGAGCCTTAATTCACACTAGGGAAAAATAAGATTTAGGTGTTAAAAATGTGAAAGCCGGAAAATTTGTACAAAAAGGTAACAGGTTAGGGCGGATTTTTCATAAAGTTTATACGGGCTGAACAGGTCAAATTAAAAAAATTGTAATGGGCCAGACCCGGCCTGGTTAAATTTAATGAGCTGGACCGAGAAAGTTGTGAAAAAATTTTGACGGGGCGAAACGGGCCACGGACTTTGTGGACCTCTAATTTCTAATACAATACCGAAAACCCATCCTAATTTAGCAAAGAAATTTGATTTTCTAGCGAAAAGGCAAGGTTTTTACATCACATTAAATTAAATTAAAATCAAATCAATGATTCGAATAATCTAAAAACGTCAACATTTTGTGAAACGAAGAAAATACTTTAAAGAAAAGACCATTAGAAGCGAAGTTCTCTATCCAGTTGAAACCCATTATTGCTCATTTATTTATATTCTAAATGTGAAAGAGGATAAGGGATTAGTTGGATGGACTTAACAATTTTAATAGCTCTACAAACTTATCACTTATATTCTATACCCACTCTCGGTTTCAGAATTTTTGTACTTATTTTTTGTTGAAATATCGATAACATAAACATTTTTAAATGTTTATATATAAAAAAATTTAAAAATTGGATATGATTTTTAATTGTCATGGAATTCGCCATAAACACTAAAAATAATTTTATTTTTCGAACCAATCTAATATGTGGAAACAATCAACCAAAATTTTATATAATGGAGTAAAAAAAATGGTATGTTTATGTTTAATATCATTTTTTAAAAATTTTTAAAGATAAAAAGGAAAAATTAATTATTTTTTTCATTGCAAACAAATTTTTTGTCATATCCATAAATGTCAAGTCATATAAAAAATTAAATTTTTAAATTTCATTTTACATGGCTCTTTAAGTTTAGAGATAGTGTATACACCAAATTTTTTCTTCAATAAAGGATTTTTAAAAAAAAGATATCCATATTTAAATTTGTGTTAAAATGTTTAGGCATCTTGCCAAATGATAATTAATAAAAATGTCGGTGGCTCTGCAAAAACGAAGCTAAAAATTTAATTTAACTATGGCTAAAATATTTTTTCCAAAATGCATTTTCTGGAATAAAACTCATTAAATTTAATATCATCTTATGATTCCACTTGCCACTATTTTTGAAAAAAAATTTTTCATTTCACATATGTCCATAGCTATTGCTCTTATTATTTAATATTTTAATTTTGCGATGATACATTTAAGATGCAAGTGTATATCTGTAAAAAATCAACTTAAAACAGCATCTTAATGTAACGGAAGCAAAATTATAAAAAAAAACAGATTACAGGTTATGAAAACTTTCTCGTATTTGAACAAAAAATTATTTTTTATCAAATTGGAAAAAATAGTTCCTTATTATACATATTTATAAAACCTTTCTATAAAAAATAATGAATCTAAATAAAAATTCATGTAAATTGACAATTTTCTTAATATTTTTTCTACATTTAGGTATGATCAACTTAAATAAACGTTTTGCTCAAATGGAAATAATTTTATGTTTGCTCATTCAACTCAAATTTAGGCGTACTACCCGTCACTCTTTCATCCGCTCCTTAGGGATAACGCCCCTAATTATATTAAATATATTCCCGATTATTATTTCATTGTTTGTATCATCC